GCCCTTAGTGAGTTAGTTAACATTCTTCCGGTAAGTATAGACATGCCCTTAGTGAGTTAGTTATTTCCCTAGCCAAGAATGCACAGTCTTGGTGATGGTTGGGGAGTCTGAACCCTGCTCTCACAAATGTAAAATAATAAAGGTCAATTTACTACTAAATGAAGAGATTTTTTGACTGTGCCAAGTGCGATGGGGAGGGAGATATGGTGAACACCTTGAACTAGAAGATTTACCAGGCATTGCTCGGGTCCTTAACTCAAATAACTTTTATTTTCTTAATTTAAATCGCTACTCTGGGGCAGGGCTGAGGAGGAGGGGTTCAGTATGCCGGCTGCTCTGGGGAGAGAGGACTACCCCAGCCCTCTCTTACCGCAGCAGCTTGGGGCTAGGTAAGAAGCACCTCTTCATAGCTGCTGCAGCTTCAGGGGGCACAACTTGGGGAAGGGTGCATGTTCCCCAGCTGGATGACAGACAGTCAGACACACAGACAAATTCTCCAAAAGATATCGTAGGTTTTGCTGTGACAGAGCCAAGGCTTGTGCAAAAATGGAGCTGTCTGCTGCGGCTCCTTGAATTGCCCCTCACAGCGAGAAATTCCCCTGGCTTCCCCTGATGTAGGATGGCTATGTGGGAGACTTTAGCTGTGCTGCTGTTAGGTTTGTACTGTAATTATACTTGCACCGCCAAGGCTGCTTTTTCACCAGGAAAAGAGCCGAGCTAATGAACTCAAACTTAAAAACGTTAGTTATAATCCTAGGGAAGACAAGGCCATTTATAGTTGAATCCAGGAAATCTCTGTGATGCCCCATGGTCCTTCTTGTGATCTGCTAACTCATGTGAAAACTATTAACTGCCTTGGCCTCACTAGGTTTTTATCTTGAGTTAGTTAACTCAGGTGAAGATATAACTCTAGAGAAGACAAGGATAAGCCTGTGAAGAGGTAGTGATTTCATAAAATCATGCCTGGTGTGGAGAAAATGAATAAGGAAAAGTTATTGTTCCCACAACATAAGAACTAGGGGTCACCTAATGACATTAATAGGTAGCAGGTTTAAAACAAACAAAAGGAATATACAGTCAACCTGTGGAACTCCTTGCTGGAGGATGTTGTGAAGATCATGATTTTAACAAGGTTCAAAAATTTACAGTGGATAAGTCCAGCAATACTTATAGCCAGGATGGGTAGAAATGGTGTCCCTAGAGCCTTTGTTTGTCAGAGGCTGGGGAATGGGTGATGGGAGGGATTACTTGATGATTACCTGTTTTGTTCATTCCCTCTGGGGCACCTGGCATTGGCCGCTGTTGGGGAAGACAGGGTGCTGGGCTAGATGGTCCTTTGAGCTGACCCAATATAGCAATTCTTATGAAGGAATTTTGTAAAGATGGGTGTGTGATATTTGGGTCTAATCCGCACAAATAATTTTGAGCAACTGAGAGTCATTATAGCCATCTTGCATTTTCATTTCCTCTTTGAAGCTGCCTTCATTGCTGGAGCAGCTACTATGTTGGGAATGTGAAGTTTTTTGCCTTGCAGGTATTCTTTGCCGTGCTTTCAGTATTGTCAACGTTGTTACTAGTGTGACATAAAAAAAAAGTAACATTCCTTTCCTTACCTCCTGAAAACTGAGTTTATGATGTTCATTTTCTAAGTACATATGTATCGTTTTATGTCATCAGATATTTTTGTCCTAAGGGGTTAAAACTGACTCTTTTTCCATTTACCTTTTGAAGGTGTAAACAACATAGTTATTTTGGAGAACTAAATTGAAATGCTCCATATAATCCAATCGCTCACATGAAATCTTTCTTCCGAAAGTCTCGCTGAACCCAAAACCTATTCTCAGGAAAATCATGAACCTCTCAAGAAAGCACTGGAGTGGGAAGATTAGTTGGGTGTTGCTTTGGAGTGGAGATTTTAAAGTAACCGCAAGGTAAAACGAGGCAGATACTATAGCCTCTAAAAGACAAATAGAGGATTATGTCTTGGGGCCTTTTTTGAGTAAATTTCAAATCTCTAGTGAACAGTTGATTGCAGCTCTAAAAATTACCTTATTAAGACAAGAGGGGAAAAAAATCTCATTAAGCTTCCAATAACAGGTGCCATTTCATCAAATACTAAAAGAAATGTAACCCTAGGAATGAACAGACCATGTGTTTGGAGAATGGTTGCTAAAGCTGCTTCTTGAAGACACAGAGACATTTTTGCTACTGCAATGAAGATAGAAATGGGAAACGAATCAGTTTCCAGGAAAGGATAAAGTTGATAACTTTCTCCCTAAGATGTGTAGCGGGAGCTCTGTGTGTGTACTGATGCATTTTAACCCCACTTCCCAAACATTTCTTTGCCTAAACCTGCAGTTCATAAGTTCCTGTGCAACATGCAGTCATTAATTTTAGGAACGCAGGAGAGAATGCAGTCCCCAAAGCATACATAATCCAAGCATGTCTCCCCGGCACCTTTCAAACAGATTTATTTGCGGATGTTTCAAGGTTGAATATGCTACCAAATGTGTAAAGCAATAGGTTTGCTAAAGGTTCGTGAAAAAGGAGGGTTTCATCAAAGCAGCATTCAAGGGACATTGATCAATCTCTCCCCTCCCCTCCCCCGCTCCCTCCACAGCCCCAACACTTCAATTGTGTTTAGATCCATCCACCCACTCCTGTCTAAATATCAAGTCCCACTGTACAATAGGTCACTTTGAGACTTCAGGGTTCTTCATTCTACTCAGCCTCTCCAGCTGCTATTCATTGAACGCTGCCTTTGTAAAGATGGAAGCCCCAGAAAACCTGTAAGTTGACACAATTCACAAGTGACTGAACTTGGGACTATTTTCAACAGTCGCTAAATGAGTTACAAAAGTCCCTTTTTTGTCATGACACTTCAGCTGTGGAGGAGACCAGACCTCCATGGCTCCCCCTTTAAAATGGTGGCCTGGAACCCTGCTTTTCACTTCCTTTGCAGAGCCTATGCGATGCAGTCCCAAGAGAAGTGGTGCAGTTACAAGTTGCTGTGGCTGGTATGGTTCGCCCTCCAGGCCAAGGAAACGGTTACACAACTCAGCTAAGTCTGTGAATGTAGATACAGCCCCCCCGTTTCATAACCTCCTCCCTTCCCCGAGGTGTCTCCTGTAACAGAAAGCTTGAGCTGTTGTCTTTTATCCCTCGCCTGGTGCCTGGCTACGTATTTTATTTTAATTACAGGCTTGTTGAGTCCTATGGAAGAATCTTTTCTTCCAGGTATAAATCACAGTGGCTGTAGCATCCCCTCCATTAGATGAGAACTCTGCGTATTTTCTTAAAACGAAATACATAAGGTTTTGAGCTTGAATGCAAACACTGAATGGCTCCCATGCTGGTTGCTAATTCAGGGCTAATTAGAAGGGCAAGTGGGTATTATTTAATTTCCTAACAGGTCACTATAGGTGACCGTCTTGTACATAAGAACGGCCATATTGGGTCAGACAAAAGATCCATCTAGGCCAGTATCCTGTCTTCTGACAGAGGCCAATGCCAGGTGCCCCAAAGGGAGTAAACAGTGATCCATCTCCAGTCAGACAAATAGAGGCTAGGAACATCATTCCTACCTATCCTGGCTCATAGGCATTGATGGACTTAGCCTTGATTAATCTAGTTCTTCTTTTTAACCCCGTTAAGGTCCTGGTCCTCACAACATCCCCTAGCAAGGAGTTCCACAGGTTGACTGTGTGTTGTGTGAAGAAACACTTCCTTTTGTTTATTTTAAACCTGCTTCCTATTAATTTTAAACCTGCTACCTCTGAATCAAAATCATACACCAGTGCAAAAAAAGTGACTTCACATATGCCCACCTCAGCCGTTCCTCGACAGCCTTCAAATTTGGGCTCTGGCCGACCCAGGTCCATAACCACAGGCTCCTGCAAAGATCATACAGCTGGCAGCTCCATCATATCAATCCAACCCAAGCACTGTCTCTGCTCAGAACTGTGAGTGATGCCAGAGGGCGAGAGGCAATTGGGGAAGTGTGCAGGTGCCAAGCTGTAGCTTGCAATGAACCCAGAAGCTTCCTGGAAGCCAGCACGGTGCTCAAGGAGTGTTGGTCCAATGTGCAATCTGTAACTCCTCTTTAAAAGCAGACTGCTGCACGCTGAGCCAGCTGCAGCTCTCGGAGGGTCCCCTTGTGTAGCCCTCTCAAGAGCTCATTACAGCAATCTAATCTCGCAGTGACAAAGGCAAGGCTCATTGTAGCAAGAGTGGCATCAGAGAAAAAAGGGCACAGTCACTTTGCCGGGGCAAGGAAGGGATAATGGCTCATGTCCTTAGCTTTGTAACGAGAAGCACTCTTTGGAGCACATTTGGGTCCTGAGTGGGTAGGGCATATAAACACATACTTAGTTCTATTGGGAGTTAATATTCATGTACTTAAAATTAAGCATATGCCTAAGTGCCCCCTCTGAATCAGGGCCATATTAATTATTACAGTATTTGGATCAGACTTCAGATGGTGATAAAGTGCCGCAAGTCATGTCCTTTGCAGAGGCATTGAAATTATATTGACACCATTGATTATCCTATAGGATGCAATTGTACATACACAACTACTAGTCATAAGCTTTTTCAGCAAGGCAAGTACGGTGGAAGAGGTTTGCTGTGGAAAAACTCCCACGGGGCGTATTTACTATCATGCTTCACAGGCATCGCATACTGAGATAAAAAAACTGAAATTATGGTCAAGAATGCTCCGAAATGATCCTTTGTTGTCCCTGGGCTCCATCTGTGACTTTCTACCAATAGTCTGCATTTGGCAAAAGAGAATATAGCTGAGCTCTCACCCCCATTTGTTAAAATTGCATTAACACACCGTTGAAATTCTGCATTTTTCTTATCAGCTCTCAGTCAACTGTTGATATTACCGAGTATCATTGTAAATAGCATTGGAAGTGTGCCATAGTCTTTTGATGACCACCTCTTGCCATCAACCCTTTAAAAATAGGATTCTGCTGTAGTTTTTCTTGTGTGAGGGAATATTTTAATACAAATAAATTACAGTAGAGTACAATGCAAAACACACTTTAAAAGGCCTTCATTGTCACGCCAATAAAAAGTCTTAGACCAAACTTGTTGTCTGTCTATGTTAAAACAAACTATCATTGTTCAAAAGTCATTTATTGCCTAGTTTGATTATTTCATCTGCTAACTCTAATATTTAGATGTGTTGCGCTAAATGCTGCTCCCGGTTATACTGCATTTGTACTCGAGTGAGTGCTTGGAATTATGCCAGTGTTAAACAGACTTGTGAGAAAAAAGTAGACCTAGTTATATAGTAGTTTTGTTTTTCTCGCTGAGGAAAGTGCCATCTACTAGGAGAACATAAAAGGATAATTGATTGGTTAATGATAACATTTCTTGTACGATAATAGAGCTTGCAAACAGGTTACATATACCTACGTGGGGCTGCGTTGGTATGTATCAGCTCAGTCTGCATTGATGTGATCTATTTGTAAGCTCTTTTCAGTTGGATTTAAACAAAGTTACGTATTATAGCCAACAGCCCACTGTGCTCTGTATGGTAAAGAAACTGAAACACGGGCATAACTTTTGCTTTTAGTGACACCAATCCCTTTTATTTCATTTGGATTGTACCAGTGTCACTGAGAGCTGAATTTGGCTGTATGTACATACACCTGGACCTACAGCCTACACTTTGGTGAACCACCAGATGTGTGGCATTCTTTGCCCATTAATTAGAATGGCAAATCAGACCAGTCACGGTGCAGATTTTCCTTTGCAAAACAGGGATTACAGAATAGAAATATGCAGTTTTGTAGTAAATCACCTTATTGTATTTGTAAAGTATCAAGTCAATTAGCAACAGACATTTTGATGTCGCTTTTGTGACAAAGCCTTTTTGCCAATTAACTGTGATTTAAATTTGTCACCAGTGCTGAGTAAATAGGTCCCATCCATACTTTTGACTTTTCCAGCAACAGGCCAATAGCATGGGATGAACATAATTGTTAACATTAAAGTAACAATTCTTATAAAATTGTGATTCCTGCTTTTCAATTCCATTTTTGATGCAAAAAAAAAAGAGTGATTAATATTATCCTCTAGTAATTAGTTTCCATTCCACATTGGCATTTTTCCACCCCTCCTGGGTTCTTTTGGTTTGATACTTTGGTTAATGCAAGGGTTCCCCTCCCCCCTCAAAAAAAGTTTAAAACAAGTTCTCTAGTTCTTAAGTGGACCATTTAACAGAACTGAGACCTGAAAATCTGACCCAGTTACACAAAAACAGTGATACTCAGAGTGTGGCTTGGGAGCAGCAAGTGACTCTTAAATGTGTCTCCTACAGCTCTTAGCAGCACATGATAGTAAAACATTGTGTGATCTAATTATTAACCGATCAAGATGCTTTTACTATGTTATTAACCAATGAAGTTATGAACTTCCTCTAAGTAATTTTGTACTGAAAATAATGTATATATCTAATATATGCACTAAATAGTTCCCCTTGTTATACTGTTTAAATAGGAACAGTGCTATAGCAAATGAAACAACAAATTCACCCTACTGTGAATCTTTTGGGTAAAGTTGATTGCTAATTTGACACCTGAACCACTGACGTCAGAGTATCACTGCACTAGCTCATCAAGAATGCCAGTGAACAGAATCACAGGAGAGTTACTAAATAAAATTAGCAGCATGTTTGGCTTATGGTCTTTATCAGAAATATCTTCTATTACGTTGCCACATGTTTCTAGTAACAATAAAATTAAATGGGTCTGTAACATAGATTGATTTCCTCATTGTGGCCCTGAAGTAACTATAATAACATTTCTACATTTGATGCCATGATTTCCCCAAAACAGGCGACAGCTCCACCAGATGTACAAATTAGAGATGATTGTCAAAGCAAATGCCATTGTACCTTGACTGAATGGGTCAGTGATGAAATTTGCATACATACAGAGTTAAACAGAGGCTTCTACTATCTGCCATGCATTTCTTTTGGATGTATCTCTGCACATAAATTAAACATACCAATGCTTTCCCCTTTTAATTCATAAAAGGACTTTTTTTTTGTATTTACATCTAGTCTAATATACATACAGCAATTTTTTTTCCCTGCAGGGAATTGTTTCTCTTAATACTGAAACTCAGAATATTATTTAAAGGGGATTGGATCCACCTAACAGAGTAAAGAAATCGCATTTTATTGCACAGGGTTTTCTGGCTCATGCTAGTGCTAAATATCAAAGCAAAACTGTATTAAACAAGGCTTCCCCTTTCTGGTTTTAGACCGCTTGTGTCCTCCATGTACTCCTTGCTTCTCTGAGTGATCTGTCATAAGGCAGAGTAGCAAAAAAAGAATGTTTCAACTGACAGTTAATAAAGAGCACAATTACGGTCACAGTCAAGAGCAGGAAGAAAAACAGAACAACGTGGGTCACCAGATCTGGCTTATTTATTTCCCCTTCTTTTAACACCCTGGCTGTTGACATATAAAAAGCAGAGGAGCTTACTGGTCTCTGTGTGCTGTTCAGGTAGGGTGTGTTGGTCTGAATAAGGTGAGCTTCCGTGGCACTGGTTGAATTTAACAATTCACTATACATGTTCTTGCTTCGATTGTCTTCCTCCAGGGGTGGATCAGAAGCGAGTAAACGGGTCAGTCTTTGGTGTGGAAGAGGAATGTTCCCATGTGTAAGGGGCTGCAATCCAGCCACATTCTGTACACACGTAAAGGCAGCAATTCAGTTCACTTCCATGCTCAGTGAGTTTGCTTCTTTAATGCTCCCTGGATCACATTCACATCATTAATCCTTGAAACAGTAATCAGGAAAAAAATTTGCATCTAGATATAGATATACCTCTTGTTCAGGCAGTTGTTTTCTCAACCCACCAGGGCTTATGCCATATGGACTTGCTCTTCTGAGTGAACTGGACTGGTTGGCTCGGATGCGTGGACAGGCTCTTCTTAATTTTCCTGGGAGTGTAAGCCAGCAGCCTTCTGTGAATGGAAAAAAAGACTCTCCTCTTTAACAAAACCCCGTGCTGTAAGCCAAACCGAGAAGCAGAGATGCTCTGTACAGCAGCCCTCGCTTGCTGAGAAAGGGAGGCACAGTGGATTTCCAGGTGATTTTCTGAAGAGGGATGCACACAAACCCAGTGCTAAATAAGAGCCACGTCCACCAAAAGAAGCAGCTTCCTCTTTGACATCTAGCTGAATTCCCAGTCGCGATTCCCTCCCACAGGAGACTCCTTGCTGCTGGAATGCTGGCTCTGTGTAGCATTAGTTGACTTTCCTGAGCTGTTAACTGTGCACTGCGCAGCTTTCACTAAGAAGTGTTAGCTTCCTGGATCAGCTTTTTCAGTTGCCTTAAAGAAAAAAAAAATCTGACCCAAGCCTCTTTCGTTGAAAACAAAAATAAGTTCTTCGCTCTTTCGAAGCTTCTTCCTCAGCCCTGGTCAAGCAAAGCTATTTGCTGGAATTGAGATCTGGGCATGAAGATGTGAAACGTGACTTTTCCCTTTAAACAGACGCTCCACCACAGCGTCACTTGCTACACTGTGGAGGGAAGAAATACACGGCGGTACTGAATGTTTCTGGTGCCTGTGATATCTTGCAGTGACTTGATGCTATAAGGGACGAGATCTCATGATAAATCCTCGTGAGTTTCAAGGCGCTGGCTGTAAAGCTGCTGATAAAGGGGAAAAAAAACCAAAGCACCAGTAAATTGAATCAGAGTTGCTTTCTCTGTCTTGCTCTCTTGCTTGGACTTTTATTATTAAAATGGGTCTCTCTAGGATAAATGAGAAAATGTCTTTTTTCCCCCTACATCGTCTCCCCACCATACCACCCCCTAAGCCTGACAATTAGCATGTTAATTCTTTCTCATCAAATTGCTTATATACTCCCATTAGCTGCTGGCTGGCTGCCAGCTCTCCTTCCCTCACTTCAATACATCTGATCAGCCTGGTTAATACTTTATTGTAGCCACCAGAACTCAAAAATGGGAAGGGGGCCAGGCTAAGGGGGAAGAGGGAACGTTTCTTAACTTGAGAGAGGAACCATGATCCACTCCAGGAGACTGATACAAGCAAACCTTAGAGCAGCTTATGAAGGTTATCGCATCCCAGTCCTGGATGGCTAAGCATTTTAACTGGCGTAGGACCATAATTCTGCCTTCAAAAACAGGAAAAGGAGGAATTATACGGTCAGTGATAGTCACTGAGGGAGTTAAGCACTTGCAGAACTTTGAGCATCTGGGTAACTCCATCCCCTGTATGGGACCTTTCTTGTACTTAAAATCAGGCACATGCTTACGGCTTGTTGTACTCCTGCCCCTCACGCTGGCCCTGACGCTGCAGTCTGTCTCCTTTCAGTAAAGCACTGAAGCGTGTGCTTAACGTTAAGCCTGCATGGAAGGCCCATGTGCATCCCTGGGACCAGCATTTCCCCAGGAGGCCAATGCTGCCAGAGAGCGTACATTAGTCAGCCATTCAGGGATGCCTTTTCTGCATTGCCTGTCACCCTGAGGGCCAGGACGGACTGAGCAGCTTCCCTCAGTACCCAGGCCTATTTTGCCATGCCACAGCTAGGGCAGTCTCTCACCCCTATAACGTGCAGCTGCAGGAGGATACCAGGATGATTGTGGTGAGGTAGGTTATGTCCTGATGGCAGGTATAGTTCGCTGCTCTTTTATCCATCCGCCCTTTTCAGCCGTCTCTTCCAGGACTCCGGTGTCCTGGAGCAAATGCATTTGTTCTTCCTGGTCAGGTTGTCTCAAGCACAGGCCTGAGTGACTGAGTTCTCCCTCCCAGCGGGAGGAATGGACTGGAAGGCTGCTCAGCTGCCCTTCTCTCTCTCCCTTCTTAAACAAGCCGGAGACATGAAAGCAGCCTGGGGCAAGGGGAGCAAGGTGGTGAATTATAGAAATGAAATGGAGAAAGTTTTAATGCGGCATGCATTAGTTATAAATAGCGCCCTTAAAAATGTTACCAAGTCTGTAGAATGTTACCCAATGCCCAAGTGCAAATGGCATAACAGTGGGAAACAAAATGAATGGAGGCATTTCATTCCAGCAGGGAAGGGAGAGAACTGTTTTCTTGGCTCTTTCAGTGTGTCACATAGAAGCATACAGTGATGGTGGAGGACAATGGGGCATTGCTGGCGTAGCACCGACAGGTGGAACCAAACTGGAGACTTCTGGAGCGTAACGGATGAGCCTCTACAGCTTGAGCTAAAAGCCAGATGCCTCTCAGCGAAGGCTGTAGAACAAACTCATTCCCTCGCTCTGCAAGTGCCACCACTTAGACGTTACCAGCGTATATTAAGGTCCCGCTGCTGCCTTTTGGGCTGAAATATGATGTAGCCTGGGAGTAAGTCAGAGATGTTTTGGGCTAAAGTCATTGAAGTCAGGCTTAATTTGAAGCAGGCTAATTGGCCCTAAATAATTCCTTAATTACAAAATGAAGAGCTAAGCTTTTCATTTATTTTCCTTAAATGAGGGGTCTGGTTCAAAGGCAAACTAAATCTGGAATTTGTTCCTCGTGTGCGTGTCTCTTTGTAATGCCCATCGCCTGGCAACCTCAGGAGTCTAACGTGCCTGGAAAAGGCGCCCGGGAGGCATGTGTATGGTGAGGCTTCTAATGCCACTGACGGTTTGTCTCCTTATGCTTAGCCCTTGTCAGCTTTACTACTCAAAGGCTATGTCTACACTCGCGGCTTCTTGCGCAAGTACAGCCATTCTTGCGCAACAATCTGCAGAGCGTCCACACTGCACGCCTGCTCTTGCGCAAGTAAATTTACAGTACGGCGTGGTTAGAGGGGGCTCCTTGCACAAGAGCTATGTTCTTTCTTGACAGGGGTAAGCCCTCTTGCACAGGAGCTCTTGCACAAGAGGGCAGTGTGGACGCTCAGCAGGGTTTTCTTGCGTAAGAAAGCCCTATGGCTAAAATGGCCATCAGAGCTTTCTTGCGCAAGAGAGCGTCCACACTGCCATGGGTGCTCTTGCACAAAAGCACAGCATGCGCATGGCCGTGTGGATGTTTTCTTGCACAAGAACACTTGCGCAAGATGTTCTTGCGCAAGAAGCCGCGAGTGTAGACATAGCCAAAGTGCTTTTGGAAGCTGGCAGAGCATTAATATCCTCATGTAAACAGATGGGGAAACAAAAAACCAGACGGGTTATGAGCTTGGGTAGGAACTGGATCATCCCCCCAGACCCCGGCAAGGCAGTAAGGAGAAGTCAGAGCTCTCCCCGATGCCACACTCTTGGGTGCCTCTTTCTCTCAGGAACCAGCGGTGAAGGAACTAGGGACCATGGGGGAAGAGTTCTGCAGCACTTCCAAGCTCCAAGTCCAGTGTCCCAGGTCCCAGCTGCCAGCCCTGCAGGCTGAGCTCCTGGCTCCGCACCATACATCAGAGGCTATGCTGCCAGCCCTGCATGCTGGGGTCCCAGTTCGAACCCCCTGCATCAGGGCCTGTGCTTCCAGCAACACATGCTTCCTAGGCTCGGCTTCCAGCCCCAAGTACCACCCTGGTTTGAGCCCCAGGGGCCTCTGCTAGCAGTGTCTGAGGTCCTGGCTGCCAGCCCCTCATGCCAAAGCTTTTCTCCTAACCTTAGCTGGGGGAAGACAGGGGTAAGGGGGCTCAGTATCCCCACTTTTAAAAACGTTCCTGGGCCACTAACCCACCACACTCTGCCCAGAGCAGCTGACCTGATATGACCCAATGGGAAACCTCACCTCCAAATCAAGATACCCCTGTCTGTACCTTGCTCCAGGGGCAGCATCAACCAGCAGGAAATTACTGATGATCTTGACGCAGAAGTGAGGTATCCCGTGGAGGGGGCAGGTTGCAGGGCTGCCTCTAAAGTCACAGCATAGTCTGATTGCAGCGCCCTTTGCTGAACAGACACGTGCCCAATCCAGGCCCGAGAGCCATGGGGCGACTCATGCGAGTAATTCACTAGCAGGAGTCAGAGCCTCACAATCTGGCCCTAATAATTTGCCTAAAATACAACACAACAGGTCAATGGCAGTTCTAGGAAGAGACTCCAAATCTCCTGGCGTGTGGTTCAGTGCCCCAGGCATCAGCAAACACCGAAATGAGTTATTCCAAGCTTCTATAATGGGAACCAGGGACCGTGCCATTTATTCTGTGGGTGCTGCACCAACTACCTCCTACTTGCTTGACAGACTGACACTCTAATTGTCTCTTCTGTACCAATCCTACAACCCCACTACGAATAAACAGGACAGAATCCTGAGGGGGTAATGGAGCCTAAAGGTTACCGCCCCATTGTGAACAGCTGGAATCTTTCTCGCATTCCGCCCCCATGAGTAGTACCTGCTCCAACGTCCATGTGTATAGTCGACTCCATCAAGATAAATATCAACCAAACAAAATGAAGGGGGAAGTAAAGCATTATCTCTCTCAGTAATAGAGCCATTTGCCAAGTGTGTTACAATCCTTCTGCCCTTACGAGTAAACAGCAATCCAGGGGTATCTATTAGCAGAGTAAAATGTAACAAAGCATAGGCTGTAACCTACCACAAACTAAAAACTGCCATAATGACTCATAATGTTAGAAAGGAAAGTAAACAGAAAGGAAATAATGCATCTCTCTCTCTATATATATATATTTTTAAATCATACTGAAGGAAAACACTTACAAGCTGATGAGTTTGAAATATAAATTAAGGTGTTTACAGCCCAAGTTTTAAGCACCTAATCAGGTCCTTTTTGATTTAGGTGCCTGTGACGCCTAAAAAATAGCTTGTGTACAACATTTCAACCTTTATGCCAACATCCATTTTCACTGTACGTTTCTTCACTAAGGTAGCTTGCAAGTTGCTATCAGAATTCTACATAACATTATGCTGGTGATTTTTAATACGATTAAGGCGAAATTCATTCCAACCCAGTGGACCTTTGTTTTGCCAAACCCTTCCCCCTTTTTTTTGCCTACACAGAGCTGCCAGTTCAGTGGGATAATTCAATCTCACCAAGTGTCTGGAAGGAAAGGCCAGGCATACTATAAACCAATGCAGGACCACTGCATGTGCTGTGGACTATGAAGCATGGGGTGACTTCTGAAGTCCACAATTAGAGAGATTGTCTCGTTCTCTCCACCCACCTAAATGTGAGAGAGCAATGACCAAGAACAATATACAAGCCAATGGGTTGAGTAGTGGCTACGGAATGGCTCCACTCCAAGGGTATGTCTACATTAGCTCATTAATTCGAGCTAGGTAGGCAAATCAGGCAACCAGAGTTGCAAATGAAGCCCGAGATTTAAATATCCCGGGCTTTATTTGCATGTTCCCGTCCAACCGCCATTTTAAAATCCCCCTTAGTTCGAACGAGCTGCCCGCGGCTACATGCGGCAGTTTAAAGTTAATCCAAACTAAGTCCTTAGTTCAGATTAACTGTTACACCTCATTCCACGAGAAGTAACAGTTAATCCGAACTAAGGATTTAGTTCGGATTAACTTTAAACTGCCGCGTGTAGCTGCGGGCAGTTTGTTTGAACTAAGGGAGATTTAAAAATGGCGGCCAGACAGGAACATGCAAATAAAGCCCGAGATTTTAAATCCCGAGCTTCATTTGCAACTCTGGTTGCCTGATTTGCCTAGCTAGCTCGAATTAATGAGCTAATGTAGACATACCCCCATTCTGCTTGAGGGGAGGACA